CCTCGCGACGGGCGCACGTCGGGGGAAGGCGCGCGCTCGTCTGGTCGGTTACCTGCAACAGCGAGGCTGCGCGTGCGCAGGGCTGTCGGGGCGCGAGCCCAGGCCAGAGGAGCGGGCGCATGCGTATTGGCTAAGCAGGTGGAGGCTGGGGGAATGAAGGCTGATAGGGCCAGGTGGTGAAGGCTGCGTCTCCTGTGCTGGGGTCTTCTCTGCGGCCCCAAGAGTCGGTGAAATAGGCCCAAACAAGGGAGAGTTGGGCTGAGAGTCCCCTCGTCCATCCCCACTTCTTATCAGCCACCAAGCCGTGCTCTTTGCGCCCTCTGTTCTGTGACAGACTGCCCCTCACCGTCACAATGATGCCCTGCCTTGTCCTGCCTCACCCCTCCCGCCCCCTTTCATATGTCGATGCATTCATAGGTCCCCGAATGATTATTTCCCAAACTGTTTTATTTACTCCGTTTTTAGGGGAGAACGCGGAAAAAATATTCTTGGCTTTTTTTTTTTTTGCTAGAGAAGAAGAGAATTATGTCCAAAATCCAGGTTCTAAAAAGAGGGATTTGGGACAAAAAATGTCTCACCCACTCAGACTTTCTGCTAGGCCACACTATCCACTCTTTAGCGGTCCACTTGGCAGGTCTCAAAACGTGACATAGTCTATATTTCCCTACTGTTTGTCACCTCCACTGGACTGTGTGATCTATGTGCAGTAGTACGAGACTGTTTTGGGGCTAGAATATGCCTGACCCAGTGTGGGCGCTCAAAAATGTTGACCAAATGAATGAATGGATGGAATCCGTGCCTCTGAAGTACTGAACAGTGTAGAGTGATGATAAAGTTGTGGTCCTGAAATCAGATATTCTTAGGTTTGAATTTTGACTCTATCACTTCCTAGCTGTGACCGTGGTACAACAGCTTACTCACTCTGAGCCTGGCTTTTCCTCCCAGAAATGGAGATAACTGCTTCTTAGGTCACCTTGAAGACTTAAGGTGGTAATCTTTAAGTTATTATTTGGCTCTTAGGTAGTGGCTTGTTGTAAGGCCTGAGAAGGAACCTGTTTGGCAGGTGATGTGAGTGGGTAAAAGAGATACGGAATCGGACAAACCTAGTGCTGTTGCTGTGTGACTTTGGCAAGTAACATCACCTCTCTGAATGTCATCTTCTCTCAAATGGGGACAAATAATATCCACCTCATGGGGTCTTATGAGAGTTCAATAAGAATATTTGCCAGTGTTAGCAGAGGCTGGCAAGTAGTGGACCTCGTTAGCTTTATTAACATTTTTAGTATAATTTCATTTTCTCAGTTTATTCCTTCAGTATTTCTTGTTCCTTTTTTTGAGGTCTGGATAATTTTGCAACACCTAAAATCAAAAAAATTTATAATATAGTGATAACATACATAAAGTGCTAAATCTTAAGGTATAGCTCAGTTAAATTATTATAGCTTTCTGAGATGAGTGCTTAGATCAGTGATATTTTTAGATTATTGATATTTAATCTCTCTTCCACTATATGACATTTGAGGCCATAATTTGCTTTCTGAGAATTTCTTAATCTTCATTCAAGTCTGTTATGTCACATTTCTATTATTATTTAGTTCAAAACATTTACTAATTTGACTAGTGCATCATTTTAGTGGTGTATTGCTTCATTTCCAAATATTTCATGACTGACTAGTAATTTTTTATTGTTGGGACTTGCCACAGACTGGTCGGCTGAGGCTTGATGACATATCCCGAAAAGAGACAGTATTGCTAGACGTAAGAAAAAACTTTATTTTCATATGGTGCTTCGGGTGGAGGATACATGTCCTCACCCCTATAGCTGCTGGGAGGGCCCGAGAATGTACAGGAAGTGGGTCTTGCGGGCAGGCAGCTTGGGGTGAGAAGAGCCCTGCGCCCCCTCTTCCAGGACATCTTCTCGGGTTCCTTCGCGGAGCCCGTCCCGGATGGCCTGCAGGCGGTGTCGCTTCTCATTAAGCCAGCGGCCGCCCTCCTGAGCATCCTGATGGGACCTTCGCCGCGGCAGCTTCATGATCCAGAAGGCCACTCGGGGATGGGGTTCCGGGTGGAAGGTGTCCATGGCCTTTGGGACGGGTACCAGGGCCTCTTTCTCCTCTATCTTGGGTATCTGGGGAGGAGGGACAAGGAGACCCACTGATACTTCCAATGACAACCAACCCCAGTCCGCTCAGACCCCATTGGCATATTCAACTCCCTTTGCCACCTACAGGCTGCTTCAGGAGTTGAAAACTCACTTTGCAGTTTACAAAGCACTTGAATTTACAAGTGCTTTTGGATTAAAAATACTGAGGTTTGTAGACAACTTTGGGATTGAAAACATGCTTTGGAGGTTTCGGAAGCACTTTGGGGTTTAAAATGCCTGTTGAGATTACAAAGCACTTTAGGATTAAACATACTCTGAGATTTGGAAAGCAGTTTAAGCACTCTGGGATGAAAAGCTCTTGGCTTTACTAAAGAATTATGACCACAATTGCAACATGTGATCCTTGACGGAATCCTGGTCTAAAATCAAATCAGCTCTTACAGCTTTGGGTCCAGTGGAAACATTTGAATGTGGACTGAAAGTCTGTCTGGTCCTTGCTACTCAAAATGTGGACTGTGGACAAATGCCATTAGCATCATCTGGGAGCTCGTTAGGCATGCAAATTAGCAGGCCCTGCCCCACCCAGATCTACTGGATCCGTCTGCATTTTAATAAGCTGAGGTCTGTCTGAGAAGTCCTGTAAGAGATTGTTATGGGTTGAACTGTATCTCTCCACATTCATTACACTGAAGTCCTAACCCCCAGTACCTCAAATGTGATCTTATATACAAATAGGGTCACTGCAGATTTGATTACTTAGGATGAGGTCGTTAGGGTGGGCCCTAATCCAATATGGCTGGCCCTTATGCTAAGGGGACATTTTGAACATAGAAATGCAGACAGGGAGAATGTCATACGGAGATGAAGCAGAGATGGAGGCGATACATCTACCGGCCAAGGATCGCCAAAGACTGTCAGCAAACCACCAGAAGGTGGGAGAGGGACATGGAAGAGACTATCCCTCACAGCCCTCAGAAGGAAACAGCCTTGATCTTGGCCACCTAGCCTCCAAAACCATGAGACAGAAAGTCTGCTATTTAAGCCATTCAATCTGTGGTACTTTGTGACAGCAGCCCTCACAAACAAATAGAGACAATAGTTGGACATCAGTGTTAAATTTTTTGGGGTGTAAAAATGGTATTACGGTCATGGGGGAGAATGCGTTATTTCTAGGAGATAGCAGCTGAAGGATTTAGGGGTGAAGTGCCATGATGTCAATAACCTATTGTCATGTGGTTCAAAAAAACAAAATTAAAAATAAATAAATGTGGTAAAATGTTAACAAGTGGTGAATGTAGGCCAGCGGTATTCAATCAGGATGTGGAGACATTTTTGGTTGTCACAACTGGCCAGGGTGGGGACAGTACTTATCTAGTGCGTAGAGGCCGAGATGCTGCTAAACATTTGACATTGCGCAGGATGGCCCCATGCACAAAGATTATCCAGCCTCCAAATGACAATGGTACCAAGGCTGAGAAATGCTGCTCTATGGAAAAGGGAATCCAGATACATTTATTGTACTATTTTTTCCATTTTTTTCTGTATATTTGAAAATTTTAAAATAAAAAATTGTGTGTGTGTGAGCCATATGGGTTTACCAAGCACTTGAGGGTTCTTAAAACTTTTCAGGATCAAAAAACGAGCACTTTGGGGTTAGAATCAATTGAAGGTTTACGAAGGTGAGCTACGCAAAGCATTTGGGGTTCATAAAGCACTTTGGAACTGAAAAATCACACTTTGACGTTTACAGGGGAGAGATTTACCACTTTGGGATAGATCAAAAAATACTTAAAAGGTTTGCAGAGCACTCTGAGGTAAAAACACCCTTTGAGGTTTGCCAGGGGGAACTTACCAAGGATTTGTAATTAAAAGTACTTCTGGTTTACAAAACCCTCTGGGGGTTACTAAGCGAGTGAGGATGTGCTCTGAGGTCGAATACCTCGTTCCCGAGAGTGGGTTAGTCCCTTTTGACACAGGACAAAACTGAGGCCCAAGACAGGAAGTCTCATACAGAAAAGGTAGGAGAATTAACTCATCGTCTCCTCCTAAACTACAGAAAATGTTTGAGCCCGGACACTTTGCGTGTCCTAACCTTCCAGTCGCCCTCCAAGCTCCCATCTCCTGGGTCGATGGACGCCACCACTTTCTCGGAGATCAGCACCTCTCCTGTCTTGTTGTTGGTCACCTGTGAGCACGGGAGAAGAGAGTGAGAACGAAATTGTTTTCCTCCTCTGCCCTCCTCCCAACAGATGCTGCCGCATGAGGGAGGGGGCGAGGCTCCAGGAGGGACTTCCTGGCATAGGCACCTTGTCAATCTGGAGGTGGCTGGAGAGAGTGTTGTTCCCCATCCGGCGCTCCCGGTTCTCTTCTTGGTGGTAGTTCCGAGGGAGGCCCCGGAAGTCCATGGGAGCAGAGAAGAAGCTGTCCATGCCCCGTAGCAGGTCATCCTGGGGCCGTGGGAGGAACTGGTGAGCGCTGGACCTCAGGACACCCCAGTACCTCTGTAGCCCTGCCAGGATGTCCCTTCCACCACCCACCCTCTCTGTTCTCTGACCCTTAGGGCCTGACCAGGTCATCTCCTGCCCCCATCCCTCATTTGTCCTGTCTCTGTTCTCTGCCCCATTACTGTTCTGTTCGTACTATTCTCGGTCTCTCCGTTCCCATCCTCCTCTTCAGTCTCTTGTCCCTGTCCCAATCTCCCTCCCTTCCTATCTCTTGGTCTCCCTGTCGCTGTCCCTTTGACTCCCTCTCTTCCTGTCTGTCCTTCTGCCTGGCCGCGACCCGTCTCCCAGCCTGTCTCCCTGAACCCTTTCCATCTCTGTCTCCATCTGTTGCCGTCCCTCTTCTCTGGTACCTCTCTTCCCCAAAACCGCCATGGCTCACTTTCAAGAAAAGCCGGGTGAAGCCTTGGAGTAGGCTCTGGAGGCCTAGAAAAGCCGAGGAGCTCTCCTGGGCGTCGGCATCGCGGATCGGGGCTGCAGTGGCGGGGGGCACCGAGGCAGAGGGGAGAAGCAGCAGCAGGACCAGCACGGGCCACATTGCGGGGCGGGCCGGGAGGCTGTGGCACGGGTAGGGGTCAGAGCCCCCGCCCCAATCAAGGCCGCCCGCTCAGGGGTCACGCCTTCACCAAACACGATCACCCCTTTCCCATTCTTTGCCCAGGCTTTGTCCCTAGTCCAAGCAACTCCCCCACACCAAGCCCATTTCCTCCCTCCCTTTCCCATCTGTTCCCACCCCCTCCATCGTCTCAGGCTTGGCTCTTCGGGGCTCTGCCTCCTACACGGATCTCATTCTTCTCCTTCCCTCACATTCATACCCAGATCCCATTTCTCACCTTCTCCTACGCCCCGCCCCTTCTTCCGGACCCCGCCTTTATGCTAGACCGCAGACTGGTCACCGGACCCTCAGACTCCGGTTGTCCAGACTGTTAAATCCAAACAGTTCTGGTCTCAAGCCCGAGCGCAATACCTGGAGCGTTGGCTGAGCTCCGCGAGCCGGAGCCGCTGGCCTATTGTTTGACCACGCCCCCTACTGCTGACCTCACCCACCAGCTGGGCCCTCTATTGGATGGCCACGCCCCCAAGGACAGAGCCACGCCTCTATTGTTAGCCACGCCCATTGAGCCCGCCTCGCGTTCATTTCATGGTCACACCCTCTCGTTAGGCCACGCCTCTGTCGGTTGACCTCGGCCTTGGAGACAGAAGTCTTGCGAGTATTCATTCAGTCTTGCGTGTCCGGCTTCAATCTCAGGTGGCCAGCCCCTTGACTGAAAGCCTGGGCCACGCCTCTGCCCCCAGTGCCCTCGCTTCCGTTCCTAGGCTCCTTCGGCTCGTGAACTGTCCTGGTGTGCCCACTCCTCAGTTTGCAGCTACCTCGTAGAGTTTCTCCGTGTCGCGTCTCATCTTCTCCAGGATTTGAAACGATTAACGCACTCAACAGAGGGCAATGTAGGGACGCTGAACCCGGAGCCCGCTTCGGTTCCACTAAACACCCCCCGCCCTGTCCTGAAAGCCTAAATCAAGTCTTATGTTCCAGTTTCCAAGGAACCCCAAATCCGAGCTCTCTTCTCCCTCAGGACTCCAGAGTCCGGACCCCAGCCTCTTATGGTCTCACGAGCTGAAACACCCAGCCCCTCCCTCACCTTTTAAGAGACCTGAGAGTCCGGGTTCTAGCCCCTCTCCCTATAGGCGCCGGGTGTCTGTCTGTCTCTGTCCTGGGAAGGCGCCACCTCTAGCTCACTAGGGCGTGTGGATGCTGGAGCTTACACCTCCGTGGACCTCCACTAAACTCCCGGTCATCTGGCTCACGACTGTCAACTCTGGTGAAGTCACAAGGAAACGGTGTTGTCATAGAAATCAATCAAAACACCCCCATAATTTAATCCTCGAAAATATTTTTGAGGCTGAACAGAAAAGACTCTTTTGTGTTTGTACCACTTTCCCATCTCCAACACGCTAACACGCCTCTTGGAGAGCCAGGCGCCCGGGCCCCGAGACCCCTTCTCCAGACTCAAAGTCCCTCCTCTCTCAGACCCAGGAATCCAAGCCCTCAGCCCCCTACTTCCCGGTCTCCATCAACCTCCTCCCTCTGATCCAGGAGTCCGGATCCCCGACCCCTCGCCTCTCCCAGAATCCCGAAGTTGCTATCGGACCCCCAGCTAGACGTCACCTCTCTTTTGCCAAAGCGAAAGTCCTCCCCCAAACTGTCACCGTCGTATCCCCCTTCCCGCGGTCCGGCGCCGGGGCCCGCCCCCCTCCAGTCCCTCCCACTTTTCCCAAACAAAGCTCGCGGGCAACTTTCTCCCTCTCTGCGCCCCGCCCGCCCGCGGTTCCCCAGCCCCAGGCCGGGAGGTAGGAAGGCGCCGGCGGGAGTCAGGGATCCTGCATTGGGGTGTGTGAGTTCTGGGTGTGAGTGGGATCGTCTCTGAATTGCTTGCCGTTCTCGTTTTTGCCGGGGACCCCGAGTTGGCGCTGGTGACCGGGTCGAAGCGCCGGTTGGAACTTTCGTCGCTGTTGTGGTGCCTGCTGACGGGTCTGAGTTTGAGTGTGAGTGTGTGTGTGTGTGTGTGTGAGTGTGTGTGTGTGTGTGTGTGTGTGTGCATGTGCGTGTGCGTGTGTGTGTGCCCGGGAGTGGTGCGAGGGCTGGGGACTTTGGCGGGTGTGTCTGCGGCTGTGTCGCTTTGAAATGAGAAAGGACTTCGTGCGTCCTCTTGACCGGACTGGTTTGCGTGTGTCATTTGTGGGGGCCTGGTCCTCTTCGTGGAGAAAGGGGTCTCCGGGGCGGCAGAGGGCGGGCTACAGTGCTTTCTGGATCCTCAGTCTTGTCTCTTCGGGGGTTTGTGGCCTGGGGAGGGAATTTAGAGGACCCTTTCTCAGCCGGCTCCTTCGTCCCTTTGTCTGGCCACATGGGGGAGAGCTGGGCTCGGATTTTGGCCTACGGGGGTCCTGAACGCCGCAGCGCCACTGGGCTCGGCCTGGGGTCTTTGTCTCGGCCGGGGAGTTCCAGGGTCCGAGGGAGGAGGGGGATGGGAGCCTGGACTCTGGGGTCCTGGGAAAGCTGTGGAAGACGCCGAGTCGTCAGGGAGGCGGGATCTGACTGTATTGGAAAAAGTTTTTCCCTGTTCCCGGCCTCCGGGAAGTCGCTGGGAACTCGAGTTGGACCGGAGCCCACGGCGCAGGGGGAGGGGAGGGGAGGGGGCGGGGCCGGGGGCTTGAGGGGGCTGGCCAGCCCCTCCCCTGATGGGGGTTGTGGGAAACTGGGGGAGGGGACGCCTGGGCCCTTTGTTCTGGCTCTCCTGATGGCACGGCGCCCCTTCCCCCCAGTCTGTGGTTCTGTGGGTCTTTCCTGGTCCCGGCTTGAGTTTCTGCCCTGAGTCTCTGTCCCCTTTTTCCTCTGGGGATCTGTCCCCGCCTCTCTCTGAGCCTCTATCTAATGCCTCCCTCTGAAACTCTGTCCTTCTCCGTCTCTCTGAGTCTCTGTCCCCGTCTCTCAGTATCTCCTCTCAGCGTTACTAGGGCCTGAGGCCCCTCCTTTTCTAGCAGCTGCTGGGCACATCCTAGCACCTGTTCATGGGGTGGGACTCCTAAGATCTCACCCACATCCCTGTCCCTGCGACCAAGGCCCCACTCCCATCGTCTTTAAACCAGTAATCCATACCCAAATGACTGGCCCTCATGGGCCTTAGACATGGCTCTGGGGTCTTTAAGACTTCATCACTACGCAGGCCACCCTGGAAATACAGAATCCTTCTCCAGGACCTGGGAGCCCCAGCGCCCAGGCCCCACCTCCCTCAGACCCAGTGGTCCGGGCCCCAGCCCTCCAAGCCCTGAGGTCCCTCTGGGTGGGTCCGGGAAACCTTGCTGAGCCCTGTGTTCCTTCAGGCCCAGATGGGGGAACCCCGGACCGGGGCCCCCCTGGACGAGGGCAGCGGCTGGACAGGAAGTGAGGAAGGAAGTGAGGAGGGCACCGGTGGCAGCGAGGGGGCTGGGGGAGACGGGAGCCCAGACGCAGAGGGTGTCTGGAGCCCCGACATCGAGCAGAGCTTCCAGGAGGCCCTGGCCATCTACCCGCCCTGCGGCCGGCGGAAGATCATCTTATCTGATGAAGGCAAGATGTACGGTGAGTTCACCCTTCTCATTTGCCCAATGATGAATAAAAAGGAATAACATTCATGAAGCTCTAAACAGTTTTTATATAAAAGCACACAGTATCCTCACAATAACTCAGATCGGAGCTGGCATCGCCATTTGCATAGACGAGGAAAGCGAGGCCCAGGAAGGCGAAGTGGTTTGCCCCAGGTCACAGAGCTAGTGTATGGTGGAGCTGAGGTTTGCACCCGAGCCATCTGGCTGGGAAGCCAGTAGTCATAGCTCCTCTCCCAGCTTTCTGTGGACCTCAGGGAACTCTTGCTTTTCTCTCCCTCCCCGGTGTCCTCTCCGTTGGGAAGTTCTCAGGTCTAACTCTGTTCCATCTTTGACTCTTCAGGTCGGAATGAATTGATTGCCCGCTACATCAAGCTGAGAACGGGGAAGACCCGCACTCGCAAACAGGTCTCAGGACTGACTTGTGGGCTTCCGTCTGGGATGGGCTAGTCTTCTCGGGGCCATCCTAGGATGGGCAGTTCAAGTTCAAGGAGGATCTGATTCCTGTGCTTTTGTCTGTCTTCTTGGAACCTCTGTTAATATACTCTGTGCCTGTTTTAGCCACAGTTCTCTTAGCAGTTGTGTTAGACCCAGAGTAAGACAGAGATCAAAAGATCCAAAGAGAAAAAGATCGGGAAGGGAAAAGAGACCCTGATTTGCTGGGTCTGGGCAAGGGTGGTGGTGTTACTGAGAAAAGAGTGGCCTTTAGGGACACATCTGTGTTTGCATGCTCCTGAGACAGCTAGCATGCCCTGTGTGTGTGTCATCTTTCATGGTCCAGCAGCTCTGGGGGACACTTGGAGGGTGGGAAGGGGTAGGGGATGCAAGGGGCAAGAGACCCTGGCCCGAATCTGCTTCGTCATCACTCCCTCCAGGTCTCTAGTCATATCCAGGTCTTGGCCCGAAGGAAATCGAGGGAAATCCAGTCCAAGCTCAAGGTAGGGACCAAAGCGAACACCCTGAGAGGGGAGTGGAGACCCAGAGAGGGGACAGGGACCCAGAAAGAGAGGGACATGAACCCAGAGAGAGGGGACAGGGATCTAGAGAGGGAGAGCAACAGAGATCTGGGGAAAGAGGACAGAGAGACCCGGGGTGAGGGACAGAGGGACAGAGTCACATGGAAAGCTAGACATAATAGGGGAGCAGAAGACAGGAATGCAGATTTATCTTAGGGCGGGCGAGATGGACGGGGCGTCAAGCCTCTCCTCTGGCTACTGCCGTCTCCCCCTCCCTCTCCTCTACCCCTTCTGTCCCCGCTGTGGCTCTTGGTGTCTTCCTCGCCTTTTCCCTCGTGTGCTGTGAGGATCTGCTCTTGGGTCTCCTGGTTCCTTGTCCCGTTTCCTGGTCCCCCTGTGGCCTGCCTGCTCTTTCTGTGCCTAGAGATCTTCATTTCCTTTTGGAGCTTTTGACATCCCTTCTTTTTCCTTTGTCTCTGAATTTCCTGTTTGCTCTTGGCCAGAGATCCTCATTTTCTGCCCCACCGAGTATGGGGTCTTTTCTGCCTCTTCTTTTGGATTTGGGGACCATCACTTCCTGTTCTTTTTTCGTGCCTGGAAGCCTCCCCTTCCTTACTTACTCTCTTGGTCTAAACACCTTCCCTTCCGATGTTTTCTGGACCTCGATGTTCCCTCTCTGTCTGGTCCGGGCTAGGAAATATTCACCACCGATTCCCTCTGAGTCTGAAATTCTCATTTCCGGTTGCCCGCATCTCCGAGAACCTTCACTTCCGGCTCCTTATTGACCTAGAAATCCTCATTACTGTCTTTTATTTCCCTTCTAGGTCTGGCCCCCTCTACTTCCTGTTGCATATTCATCCTTCATTCCCCCTTCCTCCCGTTGCTCAGCTCAGGATGGCAGGGCCGTAGGGGTTGGGAGCAGGAAGGTGGAGTGTCCAGGCCTCACTTCCTAAATCATGTTTTCTTTCCTCCTTTGGCACCCGAACCCCATGGACAGGCCCTGAATGTGGTAAGTCCCCCTGCCCATCCTCTCATGTGCTTCCCTTACCCCAGATGTTCCTGAGGAGACCAAGAGGAGCAGGGGGCAGTAGGGAGAGGGATTTGGAGCCCCCCAACCCTTTGCTTTGACTCCCCAACTCTGCATCTCCGCACGCTTGCCCTGCCCTGTCGTCATCCCACCCTAGCTGTGTCGCCTGGAGCTCCCCATTAACACAGACCTCCAACTCTTCCTCCAGGACCAGGTTTCCAAGGACAAGGCTTTCCAGACAATGGCCACCATGTCCTCCGCCCAGCTCATCTCAGCACCTTCCCTGCAGGCCAAACTGGGTCCCACGGGTCCGCAGGTGGCCTGGGTTGTGGATCATGGGGCTCAGGGCTGGAGGGGTGGGGGTGCAGTTTCAACAACAAACAGACTGGCTGACCCCCCTTTGTTTCTTCTCCAGGCCTCCGAGCTTTTCCAGTTTTGGTCAGGGGGCTCCGGGACCCCCTGGAATGTTCCAGAGTGAGTACTTTCTGTTCTGGCTCAGCACCTGCTCTCCCCTCTTCCCACCAAGAGGCCTTTCTCATCCCACCGTCCAGGTCCCAACTCCCTTGCGAACAAGATTCTGGAGCCAGACTATCTGTATGTGAAACGCAGGCAGGAGGGTGAGGCTGTGGTACAGAGGGAGGGCTGGGTCTGAGCTGGGATGGTGAGCCCAGGCGATGGGGCAGAGAAAGTCAGGACACGGGATGATGGGGCTGGGGCCGAGGAGTGAGGAGGCAGGGACAGTGCCCGGGGTGTGGCCGGTGGTAGCTTGGCGGGACTTCCCAGAGATGTGCAACCTGGGGGAGGAGTGGGTTTGGGGAAGAAATGAGACATGATGAATGTGAGGGGTCTGGAGGATATGCATGGGGATAATGGCCTTTCAGTGAGATGCGCTGGGCCCAAAGGCTCATGGGAGAGGTAGCCATAGGTCCAGAGGCTCCCAGGAGGGATGAGTGGAGCCCCAGAGGCTCATGGGAAGGCTAGTCATCTGATAGAGGTGGTTCTTGATCCTGAGCAGGGGTCCTTATCTCTCAGAGTCAAAAAGAAAATGAGCCCAGAGGTACACAGGAGTGTCCTTTTCAGCTCTGAGAGCACCATGAGGGTGACAGGATATATTTCTAGCTTAGAAAAATAGAAATGGGCCCCTGAGGCTCATGAGAAGTACAGTTTTCAGCCTAGGGAGGAGCCGGTGGACCCAGGCTGGGCATTGGTAAGGTATGTGGCCTCAAGATGGCCTCAGGGGTGTTGAGGGTGCTGCCGGAGAAAGTGACGTTACAGGCTGTGGGATCCAGGCCGGGAGAGAAGAAAGTTCGCTGGGGAGGTGCTGCTGGATGGGGACACAGGAAGGGTCAGGACAAATCCCTAGAGCTGAAGGAACCGCCGGTTTGCAGGGGAGGG